CTTATTAGAGGAGGATACCATCTACTCTGTCACTGTGTATTGCTTCTACAAACCTTCAAACTGAGAAACTCATCCAAGTAGAGAAGGACTTCTTTGCTCTTAGAAGCTCGCCACATGTACGGTATATTTTTGCAAGATCATCAAGCTTAAAGCAAACAGTGTATTATTTTCCGTTGATTACAAAATCAACTAAGTCCTTTGATCAATTCAAGATCGATATTTTCAGTGACCAAAGCCTCAAATATTATCTAAATTAAAAAGTATAATAGCAAAGGAAAAAATTGTTTGTCTTTTCTTATGTCTTATCAAACATAAATATTGTCTTTTGTTGCCTACTGTTGAGATGATGAGAACAATACTTTCAGATGTTGTCATTAACCAGCGATAAATACAGGATTATATTCATATCCGTCCAGCCATGAGGATGAAATATGACAATTGGCATTACGTCCTTGGCACATTACAAATTATACTCCTCTCATCCCAGCTCTCAAGAACCAGCAGGAATGTATAGCCTTTTTTAAAAGCATATTTATTGTCGTAGCTAAACGGTGGGCTTACAGTAGTACAATAACCAGAATGAAAGTTGAGAAAACTAAACTTTTTGTAAAGAAACTAAAAAGACAAGTTACTAACTCTTTATAAATAAATAAAAAATCACATCAAATTGCTACATATATGAACATACATTTTCCTCATGGTATCCTCTCTGTAAGTGGCAAAAGAAAAGCTTGCAGGGTTGAGGAGAAACTCGTGAACCTGATGCTTGGAGGATGAGCCAATCAGCATTTTTGGGACAAATTTAAATCCTAAATTCACTGTTAGTTTTGGGAATTAAAGCCAATTGCTGAAGCGAGAGCTGTAAATGTTATACTGAAGTGAAAAATCTTTATTAAGGTCTAAAGGTGGCCGGAGCAGCAGCTATTCGGGATAATGATGATGAAGATGCTGAGGGGTTTAAAGATGTAGATTATTGATATCCAGTCAGCTGCCAGTGTGTGTTCTTCTGCCTCAGCAGTTTTGTGGCATCTGCCAAAGCCCCGGTTTAAAATCTTGGGTCAAACATTGCTTCCATCGACATAAAAGTCATCGATTCCTCATCGGACAACCTCGCTCGTGTTGATCTGCTGGACGTACTCCCAGGAGGGCTACTGTCAGTGACATGATTGTAGCATTGTTTTCCTGTACTGGGATTAGCAGTGGAATCACTTCCTGTTTTGGGAGCTTCACTGTGAAATATTTAAGATATTGAGACTGTCACATTGTTTTACTGGAAAATACAAACTGTAAAGTCAATCTGTTTTTTATTGATTTAGTTCAGACCAAGGAAAACATTTTACATCTTAAACAAAACAATTGAAATGGACACATGTAGGTTAGATATGTTTTACACATTTTTCTATCGTATTGACAACTTAGTATAGTTTCAACAAGTATAGCTTAAAGCACTGATAATGATGTTACAGTGAAAAATAAAAAAGTATCTGTAAAATATCTGTATACCTATGTACAACTTATAGGACATAATTGACTACTTTACAGCCAGTCCTCAGATCAGCAATCTTTTACAAATAATTTCTACCTATAGGTTAAAATAAAGTTTTTAGCTTTTTCCTTCAAGGATGATGTGTTTTGTTGAATATGATTCAGAGCAGTTGTACTTTCTTACTGGAAAACACAAGTCCATAAAAAGTCCTTGCAGTATATTCCACTTTTACAGTGTGTCTATGTGCCCTCTATGATCGCAACATGTTAGACCAACCTTTATAACAAACGTACACAGACACAGTGCTTTTACACTGCCACCCCGTATTACAGTCCTGCCCTGTCATCTGTACAAATGACCAGTGAGATGATGAATGCTGTTGTCATTTCTCCACAGTGCTGCAGTTCTGGCAGGCGGGGAATCAATGTGAAACCCCCTGAGACTCATTCTGCTCTTTATATCCCTGGCAGTGTACTTTTTTTCACCTTGATTTACGTGGAAGAATGAGTCAGGTACATGTTGTGTTTTTCTGTTCTGTGAGTGTGAAATGATCCAGCATTGACTGTACTGTGTTTTTGAAAGAAAGTTTTTTTTATTCCAGAAACCAGAACTTTTTTCCGCATCCTGTGGATTTCCTTTCATGGAACGTCAGTCTTTAATATTGGTAGATCATCCTCTCTGGTGTCTTCCCTTCTGTGTGTTTATTTTGGATTTTCCTGGAATTTAATAAAAGAACAATTCAGCTGGAACGCTTACTCGTCAGATGAATAAAAAAAGCAACTTTCATCGGCCACAGTACGCCTTATTGCTGCTGACATAACTCAGCGTGATATCAAGCAACACAACAGGTGATTTATCTTTTATCTTAACATTATTATTCCACAATATGCAGTTTAGTCTCACCTCCAGTCTAATTTAAAGACGATTCTCCTGTGATGGTGTTGTTTTATATTTTCGCACACTGTGAGCAAGGTGTGGTTTTCACTTAATTAAGCCTGTTTGTTTTCGTAATGAGGGTTAGAAGGTATTCTAATCTGTCTCTGACTGAGCTTGCATCATCCCTCACTGACCAAATATTAAGATAACAAGACTCAGCAGTCAGATGAGACCAGCCTGCAAACACACACACACATAGACACACTAAGGGAGAAACTGCAGCGAGTTGTGTGTCAGATGTTGACAGCTCTAAATGGCACTGAGACATGTTTGCGGTTTGCTATAAAAACATTATACTATTGTATAATTCCAAGAAAAGCTGCAGTGTCTCATCAGTAAACTGCACCCAACATGCTTACAGGTTCACTAACGTCGCTGCTCTGCACTATTGTATACCGAAAAGACGAGTAAAGAAGAAGATCTAACGTTGTGGTCTTGATAACTTTACAGAGCGGCATGAGAAAGCATCCTGACTTGCACATCCATTTTTGTGTTTCTTTATTAGCAGATTGGAACTAACTGGATGTGTTGCATGGTTTATCATGGGACGCAAATTGTGTGCAGTTTTTCCTGATCTATTTTCGTTTACTATTGAATTGTGAGTAAAGACATACCAACACGATTTTGATGATCAACATAAACAGTTTCAGTTACAGCTCCTCAAATGTGAGGATTTCTCAGTTTTTTTATATTGTATTATCTTTGGGTTATGGACAACAAAGCTATTTTAAGCCCTAACCTTGCACTGGAAAGTTGTGAGCAGCATTTTCTGACACTAATTGATTCATTAAAAAAATAATAGGACTAATGGCTGCACTCATTGTGCTTCTGGCAACAATGTCTCAGTGTGTTCTGTGAACCTTTTCTAAAGTGTTTTCCAAATGCAAAATACCAAATCTCAACTTGCGGCCTAAAATTGCTTGTTGATTACATGTCACCCTGAAATACAAAAGTAGTTGAACATGGTAATGATAATATAGTTTTAGACACAATAGTGATGGCTTGTACTATCTTGGGGTCACCCATGCTTAGAGTTTTGACATTTTCACATTTACCATTCTGAACACAATAAACAGGGTTTTTATGTTTTTTTGCAGGGTAAACATCAAGTGCTGTTTGGGGGACATTTTGGTGTGTTTTGGCACTTAAGAAAAAGGTAAGTTATTTACCATAGTTATAGGGGATAAATCTCTGGTTACTACAAATGTCCATATATCATTTAATGGCTTGCAGACTAGGAGTTGTCCAGATACATTGCCACCATCAGCAGCAAATTTAAAGTTCTTATCAGGCAATAGACATTATATTTAACTTGCAGACTAGATATTCTTATCACAGAGCAGATCAATGAGTAATTGGTTCTCTTACTGTCGAGCTTGAAGGGGAGGAAACATCTAAATCTCTTTTTCTCTTCAGAGCTTAGATCCTCCAGGACCCATGTCCAGGCTCCAAAAATCATCTTGAACATAATGCGGTCCTTTTATATTTCCACAGTCCTTCTCCCGCTCTCAGAGCTGGTGTGACAAGTTGAGCATTATATGACATCCCATGGGACTCAGGGAAATGGGCCATGCTGCAAAAGCAATATCACTCCAGCTATGAACATATCTCTGATAGCTGCGGACTATCAGAGCATGCAGGATGCCAAGGGAAATGATTATGCGATCAACATTTAGAGGAAGTGTGTTTTAGCAGCATCGGTGAGGGAGACGATTAAAGTAATATAAAAACCCACAACAGGGAGTGACAAGGGAAGGAAATTAGAAAGCCGTGGGCAGCAAAGATTCCCAGAGAACTTATTTAAAGACGATGATTATGTCTGGAATGATGGAAGGGAACGGGCCTGTGAGACACAGACAAACAATAAACCACAGAACAGCATTAAAAGAAAAGAAGATATATTTAACTTGACGGATTACATTTGGGTTACAACATTCTCACTCAACGTCAATTACTTTATCACATGAACATCATTGGTACTACAGATGTTTGCATTGTTATAAGATGTTTTAAAAGGAAATACAAAAAATTGTATTAGAATGCCACAGGATAAAATGCAATTGTATACGTATAGATTTAAATACAAATAATGAGTGGTCTGAATACTGTACCTGGTGGAGGCTTATATTCTCTCATATTTTACAGACAACTGGTGCTAGAACAGAAAATAATCTCATGTCCTGATTGAATACTTACACACAGACAAAAGGGAACATTTATATAGTCAAGTGAGGTCACTTTTATTTATATAACCCATAATCCCCAGATTGCCTCACAGGTTTGTTTATCGGAACTCAATTTGGATCAGCAAACAAATTACACAGGACTTTAAACAAAACAGACTGTTGATTTCCGGGCTTTAGTTCTTGCAAATAAATCAGCAGGTCCAAAACATAATGCATGGTTATTTGTTTTGTATGTTGATGCCTGCTCACGCCTCAGTCATTTTCCACTCACCCTGCCTCCACCTCACTCCCACCTCATCAGCTCACCTGGGCTCTCAGCTGCTTCTCGTTGTTAATCAAGCCAGAATATAAGCCTCCAGTCACTCGTTGCCAGATTGTTCCACGCTCCTGATGCAAGATTTTCCAGCACTTTATCCCTGACTGATGCCCTGTTTCCGATCCTGCCTGCCCCTGACCTGCCTATCTCTTCTGTATCCCGGTAAACCCACCTGCCTTATTGATTTGACATTTTTTCAAAGTTTCCGTGTCCTGATTGCCTGTGGCTGCAAAATACCAGATTCCTGATCCCTGCCTGGCCTTGGCCTATCTTCTTCCTGTTGCTTTATCCGAATGGATTTGGGTCTTTATATGTGTTAGAGAAATCATTTTCAATAAAATATCAAACTCATAAAAAAAAAACATATATTTTGCCCTCAATTATCCTAATGATCACATTTTAGGATTGTGAATATCTTGGTCAACCGGTGGTGTTCATCAAGTTTGAACAAGTGGTTCATGTTACGATGGTAGAGTTTGGAGGATCTGAATTGAATCTGTGTTACAGTGAAATTTAAGCTATTATAGCTTTTCAGGAAAATCACTGGTAAGGTATGTCCTTATAAGGAACTGTCGGATCTGATTGTAGGTACAATAAAGTTATCACACTAACCATAATTAATTACACATATTCACAGACTTCTAATATTTCATAGGTCCTTACACACCGAGCCGATTTTCGGCGTCGATAGATGTCGGGCCGTCGATGAGCGTCGTGTTGCCCTACTCAGATTGGTGTGTACTGCACCGTCGTGTCTTTTCGGCCGTGCAGACACCTTCCGCCGCCAATTCGACATGTTGAATCGGGAGGCTGTCGGCCAAAGAAATCACTCTGATTGGCTGTTTAGCTTAGCGAATCAGTGCATGAGAAGCGAAACGGAAGTGAGGGACCCAAACAAACTATTAAGAAGGCAAATCTGATATTTCATTTAACTCCAGCTCTCGACACAGGTTCGGGAAAGCCCAATGAGCTTCTCGCTGTAGAGTGAAAATGGAACGGACATGCTATTTGTTGTTTGTTTATATCACACAGTCTGTTCTTCTTCTCTCGGTGTATCACGCAGTCTGTCTTCCGGTTGTTGCCTCTTTTGAATGACGAGTACACACTACCGCCGCCTGCTGTTAAGGAGAGTTATTGCCACTCACGCATGCGCAGTTCGTACGTGCTACTTGGCCGTCGGCTGAAGTCTTTGCGGTGTGTTCCAGTGCGAAACATGGCCAAGACGCAGGAGACGTGAGGCGACGTGAGGCGACGCGTCGCGACTTTCCGTCGGGACGTGTTCTTTGGTGTTCTTTGGTGTCAGTTTGGTGTGTAAGAGGCTTAAGACAGAAGGGACATGAAACATCTCCTGTGAGTTTTGCAGTTTGATCTTTAGTGTTGAAGGGTGTCAGAAAAGAGAGAGGGCGGCACTAATTGGCTCTCAGAGGTCGCACTCCTTCCAGGATCCTATCGATCAACATGACAACTTCACTGACGAGAAGATAAGGACATGCCACTCCAACGTCTCAGCTTCACTTTTTAAAACTATGAAAATCCTTGCATCCTTGATGACAAGCTGTGTACTCGGCAAGGAAATGTTGCCCAACACACACATGCATACATGATACAACAGCAGTATATATTTAGCATTTAAAATATATACAAATGTCAATCATTGTTTTCCTTAAAAAAAATGTTGGATAATAGTTCTTGAAGAAAACACAACACATAGACTGAAGCCAGCAAAGCAGAAAAAGCATCTAACATTTTTGTCCTTGGTGGCATCCTGGAGGGTCTTGACATAGTCTTGACATACGTGGTAGAGTTGTAGAAGGCTATTAAAATAAAGATATATGTAAGAAACTTGAAGTTTGCCAAACTTTGGTTGTGCAAAATAATAATAATAATACAGTGGTCTAAACATAACTAGAATCCACGAGTGGATTTAGATATTTTGAACAACTTCAACTATCTAGTGAGTGTAAATGCATATGCCAGCAGTTCGAGTAATAGTGATTCAATAGCAAGCAATCATGCCCTCACTGCAGGCTCCACAGGGATTCATTACTCAAAGAGAAACATTGGCTTTATATTGATTTATATATAAAACACAAAACAGCAAGCATTGATATTAAGTCTGGAAACTGCCTGAACGCCGCCGAGCCTTCACAGCTCAAAAAGCGAAGCATTAAAATGTCACCAGGGAGCCAAAGTGCACTGGGCACGCATGCTGTTAAATCAAACAGCTCTACCACAGACGAGAGACAGCAAATAACTGTGTTTGCATTTAATTTAGGATCAATTTGGGTTTCAGTATTTCTTAGGACAATAATATATTCTGTTTTGAAGCATTAGCCATTATTTAAATATTTATATATAACCCCACTGAGAAGAAAAAAAAGAAAGCTCTGCTTATCAACACTTTCTTATATTTTTTGTAATGATAAAATGACTGTGAAATGCGTACTAATGATCTGACAGAATTATCACAATTAGCCAATTTAAGCTTATTGTTTGGTTTCGCCCCGCTGCGGAACTAATAAGGAAGTCTGATTCTGACTCAGATTTAATGATTAATTTCGGGTTTATTGGACATTTGTTGAATGTCAAACTCTCTCCCTCGTTTCTCTTCTGTCTTCCTTCATAAAGCCAAAAGTGTAGAGAAAAAAAAACCGGTATGGTCAAATTTGTATTGCTCAAAGGCAACTTCTACTTTTAAAGAATTGTGTTATGCATCCACTCATTCACAATCTTTCTACCGATTTTGAGATTTATTTTTATTTTAAAGGACTGTTTTTCAAAATAACATTAATTATGTTTGAGTAACCAGCTGCCTCTGAACTGCTGCCTTGTATATAGATCAATTCAACATAATATGATGAAAAAATGGATGGCATTAGTTGTGTTGCTACACAGATACACTCACTATAATCACATCAAAGCTCTTCAGCTCATAAACCCCAATGCATATTACCCTGAATCAAGGCAGTAAATAACAGGTAGTCCAGATGCCAGCTGTAACTCTGAACTGTCACCTTCAATGGCGATTGCCAAGGGCTCAGGGCAGTGTGCTAAACCGGCCATATGGAACATATGTTCCAATCTAATCAAGCACTTCTACAGTGTCACCCTTTGTTCCATCAATATCTAGCAGATTATATGGGCTTAATGGACAGGTGTTCACATAAAGAGCATGTTGGAGGTTTACAAGGCTCGACTCAAGACCAAAGGACTTATTTGCAACAGGACTCAAACAAAAAAACTTTCTTTGATCAACCAGTGATAGTCTGCTATAGGATTTTAAAAGTACATGGACATGAAACTTGTTCTCCGATATGTATTCCTCCCTAGACGTCAATGTTTGTCATTAAAGACTTTATTAGGTTGTTGTGAACAGGGTGCAATGCTGATTCACTACGGCAGTGGTTCTTTTTTGGTTAAGCGACCCCGTATTCATTATCATGGGCCATTTCACCTCTCATCTATTAAAATGTATGCTAATTGTCTTTCCTGAACATTATTGCTGATTGTTGTTCTTTGTAATCTAATTAAAAAGCATGTAATTGAATGTTAAATAACAGATTTGATTAAACCGGACAGTTTGAATATCATTATCATTAGTATCCTTGGAGAAAAAAAAGCCATGTTTATAGAATTGTTATGATCTGATTCTTGCTAAACCGTTAATTCTCACTGGACATTGCTTGTTTTCGATTAAATAAAACTATTTTGCCAGCTATTGAACCTGACATACAGCAAATTAACTAAGGGATAACATCTCCAAAACGACAGAAGTGGAACTTGTTCTGCTCCCAAACAGATAAATAATCATTAAAAGAAACAAACACAACCAAAACCCAAATCGTTCTGGGCCTTTGCATGGCAGCACTGAGTTGAGTATGAGGTCAACTAAATCAATGTTTTCTGAGGAGAATAGTGGGTGCATTGTTGTATGAGTAACTCACTGCTCACACAGAACGTGTGGGCCCTGGTATTTCCAGTTTCAAAGATGTTGGAGGTTTCTTTTTTTGTTAAGAAATCACATTATTTAACCCAGCCTAAGTATCTCCAAGCAATATATTTCTCTGGCTGGCGAAATAACACAAATCCTCTAGTGTTTTGTTGAATTAATCATTTGACTATATTCTAATGGACCCCCTCCCTTATCATGTTATAATAAACGAGCCAGTTGTAGCTCTTTGCTGACATTTATACTTGCATTTGACATTGGGTCAATGAGGTCAAAGATTGACCACTTTTCCAGAGACGGTATGAACTTAGGATGTTTTAGAATTGCTCTGAGTACTAATCCTGTTCTCTCTATTCCTGCTCAGGACTCTCAAAGAAAATGGACAGCTCATTCCTCTCATTCCTCCCCGTCTGTACCAGCCTGAGTTGTGACAATTCAATCTGTTAGCCGTCTCCTCACATGAATTATGGATGAACCCTGCAACCTTTGAATGTGGTAGGGATTTAGGATGATCGAGCATCTTTTTGCTTTTTAAGTCTTCTTGCTCGTGTCACAGGCTCAGTGTGGATTTGAAAGAGGTCGGGAAAAAAAATCAAGGTAATTTGCAGAGAATCAAAGCGAAGCATCCTGTTAGCATGCACTTATTCCCCTGTTGGCAGACAAATGATTGACTGTTGTGTGCTGAAACCCATTAGCTGTGTTCACTCCGGCATTAAGTCCCTTCTGATGGCAATTAGTAAGCTCCAGTCCACTCGAGCAGCCAATGCTCTGACAATGCAGCCTGAGTCAGGCAAATAAAAGCCATTGATTTCCGAGAGATGTTTTTACGTATAATCTAGTCGAGTGCAATTACAACACATTTCATTAACAGAGTATGGGTTGTGATGCCACTAAAAGATGTGAATAAACGTAAGGTATTACTGTTTTTAATCCTTAAGTTGTCTGAGCAATGATTTACCTGGTCTTATTTTGGCTCTTGGGACAGGAATGTCGATCTATGTAGTTGGTTGGTCGACCACTCTGATCCTGATTAGGATCTCAACAACTGTTGGAAGAATTAAGACGAAATTGTGTCAAAGACATTCATGTACAAAGAATGAAGTCTACTTTCCTGTCAACGTCAGGTCAAGATGTTCACAAATGTTGTCAACAAGCTCAACTACTGGATGGATTGGCACACAATGTGGTACAGAAATAATGATTCCAAGCCACAGGCAGCAATGTGTAGTGTAATATATGGTATAATATAATCAATAAATCAATCAATCAATCCATCAAAGTGTATTTATATAGCCCAATATCACAAGTTTCACATTTGTGTCAGTGGACTTTACAGTTTCTACAGAATATGAATACAACACCCTCTGTCCTTGGACCCTCACATCGGTCAAGGAAAAACGTCCAAAGAAACCCCAGAAATAATGGGGGGGGGACATTTAAGAAACCCCGGGGAGAGCAACAGAGGAGGGATCCCTCTCCCAGGACGGAAAGACGTGCAATAGATGTCGTGTGTAAATACAAAATATAATACATTTACAACATAGGTAATCCAAATGTATAAAAGTCAGATTATAAATGTCTTGCATATACAGTATGAACAGTATTCATGGGTATAAACACTAGTATAGAAATTGTATACACTAAAAAGCTGGTATGAAAATAGACATTGTTGATACTATCAACAGAATGAACATGAACACACTATAGACTGTTATTGACACTTTTATAAATATTAAAATCCAATTGTACCCTATAGATGATAAAGCAGTTTGGAATGTGTTTTAAAGTCATGTAAAAAAAAAAAATCTTGCTAAAGCTAGGCAACTGTCAATATACATTTGTATTTAAGTAACATTACAGGAAAGCAAACAAGAAAAACAACTTTATAGATCAAACCATGTAGAGGCCATGTGGCAACAGCGGGCGCACACACACAAAACTAGCTGACAACACTGATAAACAGGCTTACCGGACACAATTATGGTCTGGCACAGCCACCAAATAACACAGAATCCACTTTGAAAACTTGAAAGAGCAGCAGAAAATGGTGTGCCCATGTGTCTAATCATTAGACTCTAATGAACTATAATAGGGAACACCACAGGGGAATAGATTGTAATAGCTCACTTGGGATGATTGCACATGGGCACTGAAATGATTTCACAATTGTCGAATGATTTCCGTCAGTCCTATTTCAGAGAGAGTATATGTGTCATAACTGATGGTGTGCTGCAGGTTTTATCCGATCGACATTTTAGAAGAATTATATCACTGAGCAGTTTGTCATGAGGGATGACCCAGGCCTCTAGGACACCATGTATGTGTCACTGGAGCTTAACTTTATGTTCGTACTCCAAGTAATGAAAAAGTCACTGTTGGTGAAAAGTGGAAGCTGACGGGTTGCGCAAACTTTACGCAACCTGTCAGCTTCCACTTTTCACCACGCCGTAAAGGATAGGTTCACACTCTTCCATTAGTTTATCACATGCCCATAGAGTATAGTTTTTGTTGCTGTGATTGTTCCCCTGTAGTGACTGTGTATCCCTTTCTAATACACTTCCAGAGTAGAAGATGGAGGATAACATGTACAGTACAGTTAAAGTGCATTATATGTTCCAGCTGAAGCTTTAATGAGGCTTCAGCAGTAGTATGTCTTAGATAAGTTATGGTACCTTCCAGAGTCAGAATCTTTTTTCTTGTTGAAAATCATGTTTATTTGTTGTGTGGAGGGGAGCAGTTAAGGGAATAAAGGCTGACATTGAACTTCTTTATCTCCTCACAGAGTTTATATATTCAGCTATAACTCTGCAGGTCTATACGGACATGCTTGTTACCAACTGTGTCCAAATTGAACCCAAAGTGGTTCATTGACATTGACTTTTCCTGTGAACCGGGAAAGTGTCCAACTCATGCTATTCTCACATTATCCAGAGAATTACAATCTTCAAGTGAATCAAGTATTATGTCCACAATATAAAAGTGTGTTTCAGATGTCGTGCTCATGCTTTCTCTGCTAGTGTGGTCCCTAGCTGCGTGATTTTCTAAAATTGCTCTCAAAGCAGGTTTTTACATTTCTGCTCATGCATTTGATGCCTCTTCTTGTGTCAGACACACTGCTCTGTCTTTCATTGATTTTTGGCCAGCACTTTTTATATCCATAACTCTGTGGTTGCGTGCAGAGACATACAAGTAGCTGTGGTGAGGTGCTGGCTGGCAGCAGGTATAATACTGACGCAACAAACACTTTAGAAGAGAAAGTCAGCAGGCATAGACCAGGGCATCAGAATAAAATGATGGAAACACATTTTCCCTTCTTCTCATTCTATACTGTATTTTTCCTGGCTGTCAACATAATATAAAAGTTCAAGTTTGGATGTTTTGAAGTCTGGTAGGTAGCTATCGTTGTAATGGATTAGATCAGAATCACTTTAACGCATACGCAACGCATAAGCCCTGTGTTCTGCAAGGAAAATATACTGTTTTGTCAATGGCGTCTGGTGGCTTTGGTGAAATAGATTTGAAAATGTACTTGCACTTTTTTGATGAAGCTGATTAACTTCCCCCACATTTCCACCAGATAATTATTCTATGATTGCAGATGATTCTGCATTGCCTGGAGGGATGTGGGGGGTACCATTACGACCCTTGTCCTTTCAGTGTATTCACAGACCACAAGTAGTAAGCATTAGGCTGTAATTAGAGCAGAATAAAAATATACACCCACCAAATAATTTCACCTTTGACAGTATTACTTTGTTAATTATGCACACTTTCCTTTTTGAAAAGGAAAATTGTGTTTTGATTAAAAAAAAACATTAACTATTCAGCCTTTTTATTTCTCCATGAAAAATAAATATGTATGGAAGAAGTGCACTTACACGTTTTTAAAGCCACTTAATGACAGACATAGAGGCTTTATGAGCTTAAAAAAACTGATTTGGTTTCACTTGAAAGTTCCGTTATTATTTTTCTACACCGCTCACACTGGTTCAGCTGCGTTGACGGGTCAGGAGGAGAAATCTGATGGAACAGATGGTCGATGTTTTGGATCAGTGCAGTAAATATCTTCTTCAGTGTGCTACAACAGCTTTATTTTGATCCAACACATCTTGGTACACTGAGATATTATTGTGGATGAGTGAAATATTGCAGTACTGCTCTGTCACTACAAATATGGGCTTGTGACCTAAATATCATGCGTGTTAAAACATGCACATATTCACCTAATATTTTAAGGTTTAGGTTTTTTAAACATTTAGGTGTTTTAAAGTGGTTTATCAGCAGCATGTTTTGTGTTCCATTGAAAATGTTTTAAGTGCTTCACAAATCAGCCAGTTGTGGTTACAAAAGCAGTATATCACAGTGCAACAATCCTGCTGCATTGTTTAGTAGTTTTGGTTCAGCTGTATGGAGTGTTTTCAAGTGACACCACGGTTAATTCCTGCTGAGTGGCAAACAAAACCCTGACAGCATCTGCCTTTGTGAATTCACAAACGATGATTAAATGTTAAAGAGCCTTTGTGCAATCAACTGCACAACACACATTCATAAAGTATTCAGGCCAAAGACAGCTGAAGTTTAAACGGGAAAGATTCAACATGAAGCGTGTTTTTCAAGCAGGATTCTTAGTGTAACTGAGAAAGAACATGCTTTTCTGTACATTTGACAAATACAGTATATTTCACAGGCTACTTAATGCATGGAAATCCCTAAGATTGTAAACAGGAAGGGAAACCAGTCAGTAATCAGTTTACAGATGGGAGACAAATTCAATAAAAACTATTTTAAAGTATCTTAGTAAGGTGCTGTTCTACCATAGTACACTAGAACACATTTGACCCATGTGACCCATGAAACATATCTGTATTTATTTTTTCTTTGTTTTGTTTTTCCCTACAAATTGTTTCTCTTTCCATTAAGAGATACCACCTGTTGAGATACGCAATGTCGGTGAAGGGGGTTGAGAAAGTGACATTAATGTGTACCTTATACTCATTGAAGACAGAGGCCGTTTCACAATGTCGAGTAAAGCTGCTGCAGAGCCACTATTTCAAGTATATTACGTCATCGAGTGGTGCCGAAGGACTGTTTAAATGCCCAGCATTCGGCGCCACTCGATGACGTAGTATACTTGAAATAGTGGCTCTGCAGCAGCTTTACTTGACATTGAGAAACGGCCAGTGACCTAAAATATTTCCAGAACATGGGATCTGCTCCATCTAGGCTACTCTAAATGGAAATTAAGATTCAGAATAGTCGTATTACTGAGCAGATTAGTTGACAGAAAAGTCTATCCAATAGGTTTTCAGAATGAAAGTTGGTTGTAACATTCTGTGATTATGATAGGCACCCTGACATAATTATCAATGCATATTAATAAAACAATGTCTTGATTTTAAGAGATTTAAAATAATGAATATCAAGTTGTTTCCATATGCTTGACTATATGAATTTGCCATTTTACAGGGTAGATTTAGCCCACTTAAAGGGCTTATGTCCTCGTTATGCCAGAAAACAACTTTAATCCTATTTCCGAGGTGCTTTTGAAGGCAGCACAACTAGTCAGCTGGTCATAGAACTTTTTTTATGATGATAGTTTCACTCAGCTCAAGCTATTAAACTTTACAGTGCAATCTAATAACTGTGATTACACATGGGAAAAGCAATATATTTTTGGAGAAGTTACAATACTTTAAAAACATCAATCTTTTTTTGGCTGAACTCCCACCTGGGGGGCCATGTTGGGGCCAGTGATTTTATGAGAGGGGCACATCATGTGGGACAAAAGAGATAAAGACAGTGTTCAACATTTTAATATTTTTTGTTTTGTATGAAGTCATTCATCACACAGAAAACATAAAATACATTGGTGTTTTTCTTTAAGTAACAGAGATGGTTCAGTAGTTAAAATGTTATTAAATTACATTATGAAAAACAAAATACATTCCAGTTAACTTCGGCTTGTTACAATACAATACTACCTAAAATTGTATTATCATTACACTCTTCTTGTAGAGGGGCCACCATTAAATAGACAATATTTGTCGCTTTATCAAAATGCCTCCTATTTATTGTTTTTCTTAATGACATACAATTATACAAAACATTTATTAAATTGTGCAAAAGCCTTACAATTTTACCAATGTCTTAACACCTTAATTCCTGATTGACCACTTGTGTTATGTTTTTTGTTTGTTTTTATATTTGCTTTTGAATTAATGTAATTAACATTGATGTATATGTGCTTTTTTCTGATTGTATTGAAATAACTGATCAATAAATAAATAAAAAAGCTCCCATGCTTCCCCCCCTCCACTGGCTGATGTGCAGAGCTGTGCCCCTAGCGGCGGAGGTCGGAGCCGTGAGTGGAGCGTCACAGCGCCGGTGTCCGTCCCCCAGTCAGAGTGAAAGTTGTCTCGGCTTAGAAAAGCTGGGGGTTCGGGGCTTGCTAGTTTCCACCGCCGCTACTTCACAAGCTTTCTCCCGGAGTAATGAGGCGGAAGGAGAAGAGGCTGCTGCAGTTCGCTGGACTGCTCATAGCGGCTCTTCTTTTCCTCCCAAACGTCGGGCTGTGGTCTTTGTACCGGGACCGAGTGTTCGACAACTCGCCCGACACAGTGGAAGGTCCGGGCGGCATCCCCCAGATACAGGTAGGAGCTCGGCCGTGGGTGGCTCGGTGCAGCGGGGAGGTCTTAATCCGCAATATGTCGCTTGTCTCACCATGTAACAACTACCGTCAGAAATCCTACAAATGCTACAGTGTTTGTTCGCTGCAGCAGTAGCAAAGAACCGCTGCGTACTTCCCCCTGCCTCAACAGTTCACCCCCCAATACCATCAACATTTACATTCCCCTACTGTGAGTGTGTGTTGGCGTGTGATGTGATTCACAAAATGGACCTTCTTGTAGCACTGTGCAAGCATGGCAGGTCATGAGTTACAGAGGCCAGGATGAATTTAAAGGGGGCCACGTAGCTAAGCCAGCAAAGCAGGGCGTCACAGTAAAGTTTCAATAACACGGTATTCAGGAAGTTGTCAAAAAATGTGAAGCAGGCGGTGGGTGCTGCGTTCACAGGTTGACAGGCGTCAGCACATAGTTAGGGGGCAACAAAAGGGGTGGGGGGGACACTTGGTTATGTATTCACATGGCCATTGGGTCATTGCTTCTTTGTCACTATTTTGTAGATCCAGACCAATTAATCATATGAGCAAACATAACAGTTTAAAGTCAGGGCATGTATATAACTGTTATTGCATGTAAGGCTGGAACTAATTATTTTGTTCCATTGTCAAGGAATCTGTTTGCTAACTTTTATAAGATGTTAACCAGGAGTTCCCCTGAGCTTGACGTTTTCAACCAAGAATACAAAATCCAAAAATAGTCACATTTGAATAATGTAAAACATAAAACAGCAGCACATCCTCACAATTGAGATGCTGGAATGAGCAAACACTTGGCATTTTCTTTGGTAATGACTAAAAACATTTGTTGATAATTCATATCTATTTGATTGTGCTTCATAACTTGATTAACTTATTGTTTTCTTCAGTGTGGAAAAAGATGACAAACGTATAGGAAACTGTCAATATGAAGCCAACGTTTTTGAATTGGCAGCCAAAGCATTTCATTGTTTTGCTTATCTGATTTGACACTTTTTTAGTTTTTAGCATTCTTTATCCATGCAAATGTTGATTTGTAGTATTTTGTATATTCATATAATGATTTATTAATATTTTTCCTTGTGACAATGTGGATATAGGCCATTTCCAGTTGTCATCTTTCTTTGGTGGAATTGATTAAGTTGCACTTTGTAAAAGAGGGTTTTCCATCTTTTTGTCCGAACAGGGGAGAAAATATTTTTGCACAAACAGGATAGAGAAGTCTGAATAGATTTTTTAATAATTTCAGCGTCAGGGTATTCAAGTTACGTCTTCGATTTTTGTTGTTGAGGAAAACGTTAGGAACTGTGTCAGAATGTGTGGAATTAAATCATCAGAACTGACCCTCCAAACCGGACCCTATTTGGCAGACAATAATAGCTCCTCTTTTCTAAATGAGGCAAATATGCTGAATGGAGGCTTTCACTGATGGCATTTGTGTGTGTGCATGTGTGAGTTTTGGATGGTGAATAGTTGTCCAAATTCAGCAAACTTTCCTGACTGGAAGGATAGCAGGAATGTAATGAAAAGGACCAAGTGAAGGCAGTTTAGCTTCATCTAGAGCTCTTCTTTAAAATATCTGGTACACATATCTCTTAAAGGGGACCTATCATGCAAAATGCACTTTGTGATGTCTTTTATACATAAATATGTGTCCCCGGTGCGTCGGGGAACTCACGCAGCATCAGAAAATAAAACCCTCTCTCTTTTCCTCCGTACCCAAATATTTTAAAAACAGGGGTACAACGAGCGGATACAGATTTGCTGCCGATCTGACATCAAATCGGCAGCGGACCCACAGAAAATTGCTATCAGAAACAATGCCTGACGTGTTTTGGACGTAATCTCATCTTTGTTTACATTAGCAAGCCTCGCTAACACTCAGAGCTAACCTGTACTGGAGACCACATGTGTTTAAAAAGCAGGAAATAAAAAAAGGAACTCACCTTGTGATAAACCCGCAAGAGAAAAAGCATTTGAGCTCCATACTGTTTCAGAAATAATCTTTGATGTGGTTTAGAACAGGATGGCGTTTTATCACAGCAGAATTTAACTTTATCTCCAGTAGAATTCTGATCAGGCATTAGCTCCGCCTCCTCTTTTTTTATTTTTCAAGCTAAGGACCCAAAATCCGCGTTTCTCTAACAGGGCTGCAAAAGAGGGGTATGAGCAGTATGAGGCATGGCTACAATGGGTGAACTGTTTGGTATTTTAAGCAAAAAACTTCACAGACATGTTTTGAATAGGTATGGCCCTACAATATATTTTTCCAATATAGCATAATAGGTCCACTTTATGGCAGCATACAATTCAAACAATGTATCAAATAGCTCTGCAAACAATTACATTCATTATAAATTCATTATTAAGTCTGTAAATGTTAACAAATCCCCACCAAAATCCCACAGTGATGTTTTCCATGTTTTGTTACCAGCAGTGAAAGTGAATTTACAGGCCATATTGTGAGAATGATAAAGCCAGTTTATTTGGCACGGATCTTCTCCAAGGATTACTTTTCTTAGCTCAAGTCTGGATTTATATCTTAACAAGAGATGCTATGAATGGGATTAAAGGGACAAACACAAGGCCAGAAAAAGCCTGTTACATACTAGCAAACTTTCATAACAGCTGTCAACCTTGAAAACAGTTTGATAATAAACCAACAGGCAGATTTGAAAATTGAGGCCGAATTTGTATTATTGGTGTGTTAGCAAAAACAGGGAACAAACATTTGAAACAAGGTTATTTGTATTCATTAATTTCCAAAGGTTTTAAGAGGATAACCCTTTATCAAGATGTGTTCTCACCTTTTTCGAGAGTTATCATTATTTCTGTTTACCTATTGGTCAAAATTGGAAATGGCTGTTGCTGTGTGATATTGGGCTTCTGCACATTTCCCCTAAAAACTATTCTGAATGTCTTCATTTCAGGAAAGGAAGCCATTGGAAACCCTGCACATTATATTTTATAACACCATTATGCACCTGCTTTCCAAGACAATACAATATTAAAACTATTCTTTGGATGATATTTGTAGATCCAGAGTCTTCCTTGATTCAATGTTATTTGGATTCAGAAGCTTGTGTTAAATATCACATATTGTTATCTTGTGTTTGCTATCCGTGTACCTTTGTGACTTATCAATAAGGCCTTTGTTTTACAACTTGCTGATTGAAAAGGCCCGCCTCATATGTACCCATTCAGGTACATTCCTGACCTTTAGTTTTCTCAACTTGCTGATTGAACAAAAGGCCAGCCTCACATCAGGAATGTACCTTCATATCTACATCAAATTTTCTCTCTGAGCATTTGATCCTCTACTGTATACTATGCTAACACAACTGTAGCCATGTCGTAGTGGCTGTAATCAGTTGCCCATGCATAGGGTTCCTGAATGAGTATATCATACTACTCTAGCAAACATGAGCTGCCTCAGACCTTCCCCACTGTGACAGTGACAGAAAGGCAATTTGCACATTTTCCATCTCTTATTAAGGACGCCTGTTGAAGCAGAGGTGAATCAGCTTCCTCCCGCCTGCTCCAGCCACTCGGGTTAAGTTGAGGTTAGAGAATATGAGAGCAGTGGGTAGAATTAAAAAGAGACCTCTATAGTCTGAGCTGCTGCTTACTGTGCTGCCCAGCTAACTGTCTGAGTGATTGGACACGGTCTACTGCAGATGAACTGACAATAGCCTGGCAGACATGCAAAGGCCTTTACGCAAACTTCTGTTTCCTCATCCAGTTTTAGTTAAGCTGGGTTAGCATCACCAGACTTGTAATACCAGTTGATCCTCATACTTAAAGTTATATCCTTACAAGTCACAAAGCGTAATGTTGTTCGGATTTGCAGATACATATTGCACCTTAACTTGAAGTAAGGACGGTATTCTGTTGAACAAAATGTCTTCCGTTTTTGAAAGGTAGTTATTTAGTAGTATACATTTTACTTCCTCTGGGCGCCTTACACTGTGTCCCACAGAGATGTATCGGCATTTCTTTGAGCTGCTTTTACTGTGACTTTTTATGCTTACTTTGGGAACCACTATGCTTCACCAAACATGGAGGAATTTAATGAGCCCCAGACTCAATTAAAATAGAAATGGTGGACTGCACTGTGACTGTGTTAGTGGAGGTTTGAGTGTTTTTGTTCAACCTTTAAATGTAATTGTGCTTTTATAACCAATGTGGGGTGAAAGATGTTGTGCCACATCAAGTAAAGTAAATAAACACATCGTGTAACAACTTTTTTGCTCTTTAAAAAAAACAAATGAGTATATTTTTAAATACAAATCTACAAGAGAAGTCTGTCTGATAGAACATCATTTAGTCCATACTAGGTTTTTTTGGTTACACAGAGTTTGTTGCTAGTGAGTCACATGGAGACTCCTCATGCACGGCAAAACACCAATTACAATTATTCTAGAGGAATTTATGAAATAACCAAAGAAGGGAACGCTAGTCGTTTACCACAGCCTTAAAATGTGAGCAAAACAGGAGCAAAACATCAAAAAGAAAAGTTGATGGCAAAAAGGAACACATTGGATGTATATAAATATTCGCGCTATAGGAAGGATGATCCAGATTCCATTTTTGGGGCACATGGCGCTGTTGTTTTTTTTTTTTGGCTAACAGGTTGTTATCCACTCTGATAAAAGTCTAGAAGACAAAGTGTGCACTAGAAGGAAAGTTGGCGGAGATTCACGGCCCTGTCACAGAGAAATGAGAATCATACAGGCTTCTTTGCACTGGAGGCTACATTTATGAGCCGCAAACTGCAGGCTGGATTACTGTTCATTCATCACGGCCGGACCTTGTGCGTTTCATTCTGACACATGTACAGTACACTCTGTGATACACACACACACACACACACACACACACACACACACACACACACACACACACACACACACACACACACACACACACACACTCTCTGATTTTAAAGCCAAAAGAAGGCTGTTCAGCAATGATTTGCTCTTATTAATTAAT